ATGGAAGTACTGGAAAATCTTACTCGCTTCAGTATATTTCTAATGTTGCAGATATTTTTGATACAATCAATTCGGTGTGGACAAATAGTTCAATAATTCCACAGGTATATTCAACTTATGTTGGTTCAGATTTATATGGTCCTCCTCAAACTTTGGTGAACGGCCAAATTTTATATTTTGGTCAACCTACGGGAAATCAAATAACGTATACCAGCATATTAGCATATAATACCTTAACTGATTCGTGGCAACTTATTGTAAAATCTTTTAATATATTAGTGATTAATCATATTAAAAAACAATTAAATAATAAATTTTTATGAATAAATCTATAGAACACTACAGGTAAAGTCCCAAGTATACGTAGTGGTCAAACAGTTGTCTTGAGTAAGTATTGCTAAATTTAAAAATACTATAATAATAATAATAATAATAATAATATATACATTAATCTTTATCATTGATTTAGCCTCCGATGGGCGTATTATTATGTATGGTGGAACTACTAATAAGTTAGCAGCTAGCCCATCTATGGTAGTCCTGAACATTTCTAATTATGAATGGACAGAACCAACTGAAATAAATCCTATTGGACCACTTACTGGACATACATCAATCATGTTCAAAAATTATATGATTACAGCATTTGGTAATTATAATTTTTTTATTTACATTTGTGTACTTTATATATATATATATATATATAGTAATAATATTATTTTTCTTTAATTGGTTTCAATTTTAAAGGTACAAACGTGACAGAAAGAGACGTTCTTAAACAATCCAGTAAAAGCATTTATAAATTGGATACATCAGATCCATTAACTTATAAATGGATATTATTATCTTCATTCACTTCACAGACATATAAGACTAATCTTCCAACAATTAATGTTCCATCATTTAAAAGCTCTTTTGCCTCTGATTCTTCACCAAGTAATGATTCTTCACCAAGGAATGGTGCAATTATTGGAATTGGTGTTACCGTTGGTGTAGTAGCAATTCTGTCTTTTGCCGGATTTTTGTATTATAGGAGTTCCAAAAACAATCCGCACGGAATTTCTATACCAACACCTGGCACTATGCATGATGAAAATAATCAGGAAAATTACATTGAAACACCCGGTACAATGCAATATAAAAAGTAATCATGAAAATTATGTTGCAACACCTGTCATGTAGATAGTTTTTAAAAAGATAATTTTTCTTCATTAATTTGCGTTTAAACATTATTTCACCAAAGTTGGATTAGAATTTTTTTTCTTA